TGGGGGGGGGTGGGGGGGGGGACCCCCCATGGGGCAAGGGGACCCCAAGTGCTGGGTCCAGGACTGGTGGACCCAGGTTTGCCCTGAGAGGCGGGGAAAGGGGCCCTGAGCCAGAGCAATGCAGTGCAAGGAGTCCAGCCACACGTGCCAGGATGCTGTGGTCCATGTGCCAGGGGAGCCAGGCGAGGGACCCCCAATGCAAGCAGGGCTGGGGGGCTGCAGCAGCACGGTGAGGGAGGCACTACCGCCGCTGAGCTGGGTTGTGGAGCGAGGTCCAGTCAGGGTCTGGTGCTGCCACGGCAGCTCGGTGCAGAGCCAGCGCCTCACAGTGCTGGCTCGTAATTAATTGGCAGGAGCAGTGGGTCAGCACGGCAGCGAGGATTACCGCGGCCGGGATTTCCATCGGGCGCGGATTAGGAGCCAGCGGAGCCTCTCCTGAGTGGATCTGAGGGGATTGCAGCTCCTAATCAATGTAAATGAGGCTCCCCCAGGGCCACCCTTTATGGCATTAACGAACTAACGGGATTAGCCAGAGCAGGGTGAGAAATCCTCTCTCTGAGCTGTGGCGCGTGGCAGGGCTGGGGCCATGGTGGGCAGCCGCGGTGGGTCGGCTCTAGGCTGCTGGAGCTGGGGAATGCCCGGGCCCTGGCCCCCCCACACACACCCAGGGCTGCGTGGTGAGGACCAGGAGCTGTGTCCTGCAGGGTCCCCGGTGCCTGCGGGACCCTGGTGCCCATCAGCACCGTGGCCGGGTCAGTCTGTCTGTCCCACTGTGTTTGTCCCCTCCTTGAGGCCACCGGCACATTCCCAGCAGGACCCAGCAGCGCCGTCTTGTGTGCCCGTGTTCCTGCAGGTGTCCCACCCATCCATGTGGCTTGGCACCCGTAGCATCCGTCCCCAGCAGCATCCCTCCCACCCCAGGCTGGCCCGCATCCCCCGGAGACAGTGATTCCGTGCTGCGGGTCCATGGGGCTGAGGTTGCGCGGGGGTCCTGGTGTGTCAGGGGCTCCAGGTAGAGGTTGAGCAGGGGGATACCACTGCCCCCCCCCAGGGTCCTTGCTCTGGGACCTCCCCGTTCTCTAGCCTCCGGGTCCCTTTTGAGGAGGGGGATGGTGTTTGCGAAAGTGCAGGGGGTGTCCCTGACCCCCCATGCCCCCCTTACCTTGCAGCCTGCGGCGGGAGGGCTACACGGTGCAGGTGAACGTCAACGACTACCTGGACATCTACTGCCCACACTACAACGCCTCAGTGCCCGAACACCGGCTGGAGCAGTACGTGCTCTACATGGTGAACGCGGAGGGCTACCGCACCTGCAACACCAGCCAGGGCTTCAAGCGCTGGGAGTGCAACCGGCCCCACGCGCCCCACAGCCCCATCAAGTTCTCGGAGAAGTTCCAGCGCTACAGCGCCTTCTCGCTGGGCTACGAGTTCCGTGCGGGGCAGGAGTACTACTACATCTGTATGTGGGGCACCGGGGTGGGACCCCCACACAGCCCCCCCCTCATACCCGGCTGGGTCCCCCACATCCCACCCCAGCTGGTCCCACTGCACCACACCACCTGGTTGAGCCCCTCTGCATCCCCACCCTGGCCAGGACCCCCCATGCCAACCCCACTGGGCTGATCCCCCTGCACCCCCCCGGCTGGGTGGCTGCAGCCCCCCCCAGGAGTGGGCACCCTGAGCTCAGGGATGGAGGTGTGGGGTGGAAGGGGGGTGTGGGGAGGCGTGGGGGTGCAGGAGGGGTTGTGATGCAGGGGTGAGATGGGGGTGTGGGGAAATATGGGGGTGTAGGGAAGCAGGATGGGGATGTGGGTGGGCGTGCTGGTGCAGGGTGCTGGTGCAGGAGGGGGGTGCTGATGTAGCATGCTGATGCAGGATCGGGGTTCAGGGAATGCTGATGCAGGTGCAAAAATCAGAGTGCTGGGGGATGCTGGTGCAGGGTGGGGATGCAGGGTGCTGATACAGGTGCAGCTTCAGAGTGCAGGATGGGGATACTGCTGCATCCCCCCAGTCTGGAGCGCACCCCCAAGCAGGGCCAGACCCCACCATGCCCTGACCCACCGAGCCTCTGGGTGCCAGGGGCTGGGGTCACCCGCTGCGGAGCCATCCCAGCCCGCTCTTGCCTTGCAGCCACGCCAACACACAACCACCGCCGGGCCTGCCTGAAGATGAAGGTGTTTGTGTGCTGCGCCTCCAGTAAGTAATCCCGTGCCCGGCCTGGGGGCTGCGGGCAAGTGGGGGGCAGCGTGGCCTGCCGGTGGGTCCCCCATCCTTCCTGGGTTCCCCATCCCTCCCGGGAGGGGCTGTGGTGCAAGGCGGTTAGGGAGCATGACCACCCCCATCCCCTCTCTCCCTCTTGCAGCGTCGCACTTGGGGGAGAAGCTGGTGCCCACCCTGCCGCAGTTCACCCTGCGACCCGAGGTGAAGATTGAGGACCTGGGTGAGTTGGGCAGAGCCTCCGGCCCCACAGCGCCACATCTGTCGTCGTCCCCGCCGCCACCCACAGGGCAGCCCCAGCTGCGGGGTGGGGGTTCGGGGCCACCCTGGTGCCACCCTCACCCTCTCCCTCTTCCCCACAGACAACTTCAACCCGGAGATGCCCAAGCTGGAGAAGAGCATCAGTGGCACCAGCCCCAAGCGGGAACACTTGCCCCTGGCCGTGGCCGCTGCGCTCTTCCTCATGACGCTGCTGGCTTCCTAGCTTCTGGTGCCGGCGGGGGCCCGGCCAGTACAACTCTGCCGAGTGGGGACCCCCCGATCTGCTGCCCCTCTTGAGAGCCAGCGGGGAACCACCACGGGACCACCCGTCCCCTCTGCACCACCACCCCCCTGCCCGGAGAGCCCATGGGGCAGGGGGCTGTGGCACACGCCGATCCCAGCTGGGACTCGCCTCCCCCCCCCGCCAGTGGCTGCAGCCCCGTCTGCGAGAATGCGGCTTGGTGCTGCTGTGTGCACAGCATCTTCTACCGACACCATCCCACAGTGCGGAGTCCTGCCCACAGAGTGTTGCCCGCAGCCCACCCGGTGCCCTGTGGCTGGGGGGCAGTACCGGGCTGGGGAGCCTGGTGAGGGCAGGGACCCCCAGGGCTGGGCAGCCTGTACATACCTATATAGAGATCTATACATACTGTACAGAGAGAGACTATATAGATATATCTATACTGTACCATAGGCAGCGGCACCGGCCCCGGGCTGGCTTGTACATAGTTGAACGTGTTGGATTTTCCTCGTCTTCTGTGAAGACCTGACCTATGCAAACGCACAGACACTTTTTGGGGAAAAACAAAACAAAAAAACAATCTCAACCTTTTTTTCAAGTGCTTTGGCTGGTGATTTTCATATTCTGCTCTTAGTCTATAAAAAAAAAAAATAATAAAAGGATAAAAAAACCGATCCCTGTCACAGCAGCGTGCAGTGCTCCTGGCCAGCCATCGGCCAGCCCTCCAGCGCAGTGGGCTCCTGCTGGGGCAGGGGGTCAGGTGAAGGCAGTGAGTGCCAGGTGCTGACCTTCACTGTGCCACCCGCCTCGCCGGCCCTGGGCATGACAGCTCCAGTCATGGGCTCGGTGCCTCTGGCAGCAAGGACACCCTGGGGGGATGCGGGACGATCCCCCCACCTCCCGCTGGCTCTGCTCCCCATCGACCCCCAAGTACTGGCATGGAGCATTCGGCAGGAACGTGGTGCTGCCCACTGGAGGACAGCACTGACAGCAGGCAGCGCCCACAGGTAAGGGCGTTGCGGGCAGGGCCTTTGGCACGCATCCCTGGGAGGTGCTGGGGTGCGGTGGCTGAGAGCAGCCTGGGGAGGAGTGGGTGCAGGAGACCCCCTCCTCACCACCCTCACTGGCTGCGTGGGGTGAGCAGCTGTGGGCTGGCACCCCAATGTGCCTGGGAGCCCCATGGGAATCCCCACATTGCCCCCCC